CAAAAATTATCATAATTTCTTATATTTGATTACTAACCGAGTTAAGTTTGTGCTGATCGAGCTCTTCTTTCAAAAGTTATGATTTTTTGAACAAAAATGCCGAAAAATCAATTTCTTAAGAATTCTTAGGAAAGTGATTTTTCGGAATTTTTTTTCAAAAAATCATAACTTTTTGAAGAAGAGCTCAATCAGCACAAACTTAAGTCAGTTAGTAATCAAATATAAGAAAAATTATGATGATAGCTTTTTTGGATTTTATTGCGCAGTTTCTAGATTTTTAGAATTTTTGCTCAAAAATTCTGAATTTCGGATGTTCTCGCTCTTTCATTCATCTTTGCAATCTGAACATGCTGGAAAGTCACCAGGGAACTATTGGAAACGCTTTCTAAAAAAATTTGAATTGCGCAAATTCGTTATGATGCGAAGAAGTTATGATTTTTTGAAAATGGTGCGAACGAACTTTCGTTTCAACCTAATATTTCTTCCGCAAGATCCTTCAGAAAAGCGTCCGCGGATAAGAAAGACGTTCTAAAATCAAGTATCAATGTATGTATCACACCGAAAATGGCCATTTCCGCTACAGCAATCCTTTTGAGAAGCCGATACCGGCTAGATCTTAAGAAAAATTTATATATCATCAAAGACTACGTTTCGCTATTAAGAGCCGTGCTGTATTTCGTAAAAAGGAAAATTTACGTGTTCCCTCCTTAGAAGTCCGCCCTTCAAGCTTTTTAATGGTATGCAAGGTGCACTTCAGCTCTTGAAATTAGCATAGGCGGTATGACTTTTTCCCTTCTGGGGAACTTTTCGGCTATATATCGCTCCACCTACCAAGCATTACTGTGGAGTAGGGTAAAACTGTACGCATAATGCAAGCGGATTTAAACAGTATGGCGAAAGAACGTCTCTTGAGTGATATCCAAAAAGAGAAGATTGATCCGGGTTAATAGGACCCATCTTAGCGAATAACCAAAATCAAGGGGGAGTTTTTTCTCAGTGAGGCCATGGAAACTAAGAGTTGCATTTGGAGAAGAGTTTCAACTCAAACTGTTTGTTGTTTTCGTCATACCTGAACTGAAGAATCGAGTAACCTTGTTGTTGTACTGTCCAATGTCTTAGCTGCACTTCAATCTTCACATAATTCTGTCAATAAAAAAGAAAGCGCGCTCCAGTTGAACACTGCAGCGCAAGTGGCACGAGGAATCTTTACCCTGTGGATAGACTTTGTCAAGCTAGTGCCTAGTTTTAACGCGCTTGTTTTTTCTGTTTCAGAAAAATTATTCGGCGTACAAACTTGGCACAGTCTGTCCTCTCGGACCATTGGGAATGGAATACCTTCTTAACATGTTTTCCAAAACGAAAGAGCGTCATATCGCCTTGCTTAGTTTGAGAGTAAAGCCCATTCTGCTGACGTCAAACCTTAAAAGATTTTCAGGAAAGAGACAACTCGAATTTCTCTTTTTACAGAACGGCGTGCCTCTCATGTGCGAATCATGGTCTCCAATGAAATGTTAATCTTTTTTCTAGGTCTTTTTCTCTTTTATGTCGGCTTGTTACAAAGGAATGCTATATCGAAACTCGCTTGCAAAATGGTCTTTTCAGCATAGAGAGCATTTATTTTTTATAGGGAATTTTGCAAAATTTATGCGAAGTGGTAGTGGACTTTGCTTTTGAAAATCTTGTAAATAAACTCGCGCCGAGCCCTCTTTGCCAGTGCCAGGCAGTGGCGCAAAGTTAAAAAAAACTTTTAAGAAAGGTGTAGTGGAAATCTTCTAGTGCTGTTGAATTTGAAGCTTTTCTTCTTCAGAGACACCTTGCTAGCATTTGTTTCTATTTAGGCCTTTAAATATGACCCAGAAGCTAATTATGATTATACAACGCTCCCTCTAATTCTGCATTCGGCATTGCTTTTGCAATTTATAAGATCTGCACGATATTCTCATAATTTTCAGCTTTTGTTCTTTCATTTTTCCTGTTAAGCTTAGCTTCAAGCTCAGTTTACACAATCATGGAAATAAAAACTAGAATTCAAAAATGAATGCTTACCTGTATCTCGGACAATATTCCTTGGTTATTTACTCAGATCTGTACCGACAAAGTACTCTATAAAACTGCCCAATCATTGCACTCTTCATTTTTAGAAAGAATAAGCAAGCAGTACTGCACTCTGTAATCCACCTTTGACGTTTGGTTCAATCTTCCAACAATCAACATGGTTTTCTCATATGATAGTGATTTCTAACTTGTGATATCTTTAGTTGGCAATTGTGATCGAAAATAAACATTTTAGGCCACCCGTTTAAACTTTTAGTTGAAAGATTCGGCAGTTATTATGCATAGTATCTCTTCTTCAATCTTTTTTCTTTGTAGTAGCAGTGTCTGAGCTTCAATTTCTTGCAGAAAATCAAAGACGACAAAGTTCAAAATATCGTTAGACCGTCATTCACTTTTTGTCCTCATTGTCAGTTCACCGTCTAGCATTCATGCCTGCGCCTTTGCTTTGTGGTGATATAATTGTGAAAAATAAACAAACAAACTTTTACTTATCGCCCTCAGCCATACTCTACTGACTTAACTGCACAATGATACTGATAGCAACTATTATATCGATATCCCCACAAAACGAGGAGATAGTAGTGAATACGCACTTATGAGGATGCGTGAGTTGTCAGTAAATTGCTTTTCATTTTTTGTAGTGTTTGCTACCGTCACGGTTGCGATGGGCAACTGAGACAAAACATGGACAAGTGAATAGCAACGGCTCACTAGCTCTGAGTTAGAGTCGATGAGATTTGCAGAGAAACTGATATTGCAAGATAGATGTGACCAAAAATGTTCCGAAAACGGCATTACAGCATTCTATTCACAAGAAGTCCTATGTCTATTAGTGCTCCAAAACGAGAAAATGCAGCTGAATTTATAGCAAAGTAATGGATTTGAGAATAACTCGTCGCGGAAAGTGAAGAAAGGATGTTCTGAAGCTTGAGAGTCAACTTTAGGTTGGAGGCCACCTTTAAGTTTTAGTACTGTAGAACATACTGGCTAGCTTTCTCTTGAGATATACTTCACTGGAATAAATAGTACAGTCCATCACAGAGAGATACAAACTGTAAAATGTAATCGAAGATAGGAAGCACCTTTAGCTCATTCATAGGTCTACATATGCCTCTAACTTCTGTTTTTGAAAGTTCCAATTCTGTGAACACAGGAAGCCTGACAAGAGCGAATATGTCAAAAATTAGTTTTTTTTTGACATGAATGCTATGTACTAGTCCTCTTCGTATTTGGAGGCAGTGTTCAGGTAAATCTGGGTACATGGTCCCACGCTGTAACTAACAAAGAAGCATTAATTAAGTCGTTGCTCAAACGGAAGCTCATACGATTCATAAATGGCCATAAACATGAATGGCCATAAATCTTTACTCCAAACTTGTGAGTCCATACCGCACTTCCTCGTAATCGAAGACGTCTGACTGATCCGCTCAAAAAAACTGTCTGGGTTGAGGTTTAGTATTGAATCTGTCGGACACAAATGAATCCTATAAACTGCAGCTTAAGCAATGGCCTCGCTAAGACCTTCCGTCAGTAACGAGAAAGAAAAGTCGTGGTAAGCTTATTTAACCGGGCATTGCCCTCAAGTTATTAATTTGCGAGAACATTAATTCTTAATTTACCTAGATCATGAACTTCTTCATAACCAATACATATCATACCTGACTCACATGGCAACATGAACCTTCTTATTTCTTGGAATGTAGCGACTTACGGAGATAATTAACCATCTGATTACTAACCACTGATCGTTTCGTAATGCAATCCCTCATTGTTGTCTCGCTGCACCTGTCCCTCAGACATGTAGATATCCATCGAAAACAAACATTCACATGCTCATTTCAACTGTAAAGTCATCATGTCTTGGTTTGATATTGCTTCGTGGGAAGTGTGGGAAAATTAGCATTTTGTCACAAACAATACAGCGGAATCTTGCCCAGTGTGACTAATTGGAATTATCTGGAATATTTGGTTAGAGAGAATATTCAGTGAGAACGACCGGATACAATGACACAATTAATCATTGAGCAAAAGAGGAAAAATATATTGTTTTGTTGTTTTCCTTGCCCTTTCGGAAAAACTCCTTACCAAAGTAAGAACGTTACTGAATCGAAAGTTTCATAGTCTGCATCAACAGTGTGACTGCACTGAGCTTTGGTTTCTCATCTTTGATATGAAACCTAGCTTTCTACCAGTGAACTGCCCTTTTTAGTTTGTATTATGCTTATACAAATTATGTTCTGGAAAAAATTTGTCAGAAACCTTAAAAAACTGAAAATATGGTTGGTTACATAAGATAGACGGTAAGAAAGAGTTAACATCAGTGGATAGCACTTGCTAAGGGCTACTGCCCTAACCCCTGAATACTGACTATCAGAACTTGAAAAAATGCGCATACCGTTTCCGAAAAAGGGCTGGCGAGAGTCAAATGAAAATAGACTACTATTTTTAACAAAGTTCAGTGGGCACAATTTTGAACGCATTGTATACTAAAGAACTACTGGAAGATAGCAACAATGGATGACGCAAAACTACACCAATTACAAATTAGGAACCGATTCACTGCTGCTGCACTTGAACCTGCTCCTAGCAGTGAGTAAACTCAAACTGCTCAAATTCCAGCGCTTCATTCTTATTTTCAAAGACACCGAGGAACAAAATGAATAAAATGATAACAATTAGAAGCTTATAGGCTTGTGCCTTTAGAGCGAACATTTTACCACAATTATAATTTGTGTAATAATGTGTTGGGATTTGCAAGAACGATTTGATGCACATGGCAGAAAAGAATAATTCGCCTTTTTTCAAAAAATTTCCCAACAAAAAATCGAAAAAAATCTGAACTGAGAAGAAATTTTATTAGAACGTCGCCGTCATCATAAAACAAAATAGAGACAAACAATGGGTACAAAAAAAAAATTCCATAATATGTGCATCTGAGAATCAGCAGAAAATGTGCAGAGATTGATTGGATCACGTGCGTGAGTGATTCCTCATGGTAGCAAGGCACCAGCACGATTCCCACAAGTATTAAAGTTTCAAACCGGAAAGAATGGTTGCTGTTATAGAACATCAAAAAATAGCAGCAAAATAAAATACAATGATTCACGACTCTCAAAACATGAGGGGTCAAAACGACGACAACATATTTGATTTGAACGCTTCAAACCTATGCGACACGCAATACTCGAAAATGAGCTCATAAAAATATGACTAATAACAGTGCATGCAGATAGAACTCTTCTTAACACAAAACGGACCACGATGCTTGCAGCGACAAAATCTGCTAGACTTGTGGAGAAAACAACTCTTGCACTGAAAGTTGTGAAACTAAGACATCACCGAAAATTTTGGACTAGAAATCTGGGAATCTGAGAGAAGGGGAGCTGAAACAGCGCGAAATGGGCGAGAATTACATGACAATTTTGTACATTTTGGTGCCGTTTGGGGTGACAAAATATTTGTGGAATGGAGGTGCGCAATCAAATGTGAGTATACAGCAAAAAGAAAAGCCCACAGAAACAACAATGAAGGAGATCGCTAGCAAGGGACTGCACATTATTCAACTACACCGTCATTCTACATATGTATAATTTATATGAGAAATATTATGCCTGTAACTCAATACACCCTCAAGGAAAAGAAGTCAAGAATTGAAGCTGGATCACCGAATTCAACGGCGACGTCCATCGAATCAACCGAGGCGCAGGAGGAGGATACACAAGTGAGATTGTGTGCGCTTTTCTTTTTTGTTTTTGATGGTCATCGTATACAAACGGCTTCTGATATGTGGTAATAGGAGTTCCTGTATGTACAGCGCAAATATGACGTTGAGAAGATGAACAGACACATATGTTCCATGCACATGCACTCATTATAGACGTATAAAATTGCAGTGATAATAAATTCAACAATAGATCCCGTTCAACGTGTTCAGACCTCCTCCAGTGTTCCGTGATTTCCTATTATGTTTTTGTACAGTTGTGATGACAGAAATCTGAAAAAAATTCAACATTAAATATGTAGAAAATATAAGCAATAATTCGAAGAATTCGAAAAGTGCGCAGTTATATTTCTACTGTTGAAGAATTTCTAGCACCATTTCCTTAGCTCGTTACAATCCGAAACATGAAGTTTTTTTTCAAATATCACCCATGCCAACCGTCAAATTTTGCAGCTTCAGCCAAATTGACCAAAAAATGCACCTCTTCTTATGCAGTCAGCAAATCTGATGCTGTATAAGAACAACAATATTACAAAGAGGGTTCATTCAGATCTCTTTTTTTGTTGCTAACGACGTTTCCACGTCTCCACGGCGAGAAGTCGTAGTCAAATCCACGCATATTGTGTTTTACGTCAGGGCTTTACGCAAATGATTAGGAATTAGCAAAGATTGTTTCGCTGATGTGAATTTTTCTAGTATACGTCAGCTCGCCGCAATTCAACATGGAGCAGGGTATGTGTTCAGCAAGAAAATATGAAAATTTTACAGTTTCACCAGAAAACAGTGGAATTCTTAATCTAACAAAAAAGTCAGATAGCGGGAAACTGCGGCGGGTCTCGAAGCGAACGCTCTTGCAAACAGAACCTTTATATTACAGGTTCACTAATATGTGCACTAACAATAACTAAACCCTCTTACTAGGCGATGGGCCTTTTTTTTTAAATTAGAAGAAAAGAGGTAACAGCTGCTGCCAGGAGATAGAATTTCGCTTTTCTTGACAAGGATTATGTCTTTTCCTAAAAAAGTGGTTTGCCCTAAAACCTCACCTCAAGACAATAAAGAACTTTCTAGGGTATTGACTGAACGTTTCTAGGTATTGACTGAACGAAAAAAAATACGAGAGCCTGTTTTGCTACCACTTCAATCGTTACAAATAATGGAATGCACTTTTGAACTATAGCGCAATAATGCTCAAATCTGTTCGTTCCATTTAGGTTAAACCGTTACTAAGTTCACACAGCCTCCTTGCATTCTTTTTCTTATCATTTAATCGCATATTAGATATAAAATGACCTCGGATAGGAGTCTCTCTGCATCAAGGTGTAGATTTGATTTTGGGCTTCATCAAACGTTGCTGATGACGGTCGTGACATATTCGTATTGACAATTTCGCGAACCCTAGAGTCCAATGAGACTTCTTTTGGTGAGAGTATTGAGATGAAATCCTCATAGATGATTCGTGCCTAAAAGCCAGGATTACTTAGTCCAAACATCAAAATTATTGGCAAGACTGGATAAGCAGTACTTACTTTCTCCTCAATTTTCTCAGCGTTCTTTTCCCGTTTTAGTTCTTCGCATGCTTGCCAGAAAAGTATATTTTCATCCGAGTATTCCCCTTTCAGGAATTCAGCGAAATACTTCTGACCAACTGAAAAAAAAATTCCTTTAGAGCTCTGGTAATGTAGTCATTCAGGTTCATATGATCGGGTCAAAACATGTGTAGTTCCCAATCATGTGATTGACAATTATAACACGAAACTTACGCTTATTTTTCATGAGATTCTCAAATGACTGTGACCATGCGTAGACAACTTCATACGTTGGCCTGAAAGGAACGAAAAAATGAGCGAAAATCGATGATGAGCTAGCAGACGGGCTGCCTGCAGTGTTCATGCGATTTGTTTCATATATAGGACCACAGCACATACACATCCGCAAGATGTCCCGAACGGAATACTCAATATCAACCAGGGAACGAACAGGGCCCAACATGCGCGTCAAGCAACGCAGGTGCAAGTTCACGACATTCAATTAAAGGCTCGCGCACAGAATGTCGTCACCGATTAGGTGAAATAAGGAACTATTACGACATTCTCATACGCGAATGCACCTGTTACTGCGACTATTTAAGAATGCACAAGTTCGCTGACGTAACGAAAAGTATTTGTAGTCACAAACGGACAACATTAGAATCAAAAATAGCTGCTGGCTTGACGAAGGATAAAAAAAAAGCGTATCGTTTCAGAAAACTCAATCAATTCATTTGCTAACCATGATTATGTGCTATTAGCTTATTAGCGGGAGAAGAAGAGACTGATTAAACCTCTTCATGACACTGTGCACTTAGAAAGATTGCTGGACACAGTTTAGCAGAAAGAACTGAATACGCGACAGTAAGATAATTGATCTCACTCTATTAAAATGATGATCACCATAGTGATTTCGTTTGCTAGAATTCAATACAAGTGCACATGAGCACCCTGTCTCGTCCCTTATCAGTAAGCTTGAGAGCCGAGACGTTTGTGATTGGCGCACCCAGACTACGGTGTGTGTGTGTGTATGTAATGCAGTACGGTACAAAAGTAATTTGTGTCCAAATCACTACACACTGACATTCATGACCATATAACTCACTTGTCTAGATTGTCAGTGGTGCTAGAGGAAGGCTTCTTCTCAGTTCCGACCGTGGAACTGCAACAGAGAAATGAAACGTTGCTAGAAAAAAAAGCATCACATCAAACAGAAAACTTCTACTGAAATTGTTAAGGAAAACATTATTTCTCTAGTTTAATACTGATGCTGATAGGCATAATTTACGCCCTGAACACACATAGAAATTACGAATGGAAGCCAAAAATGAGCCAAAGAATGACGTTTTCATCGAACAGTACAGAAAGTCAATAACCTGCGAGATTCAGAAATTCCTAGAAACCTCGTGATTTAAGAGCCCCTCATATATCACATGCTAGAGCACTCTCACATGAAATACTAGAAAAATTTTCAGGACACTTAAAAGAGCATCAAAACTAAAAATTTCAGTACCTTCTACTCCAAATTTTCCAGAAAGAGATAGCATATGAGATGGATTGCATCTAATTTTTGTCGACTGCAGCTGGTTCGCGACGTCACCGTAAGCTCTGATTTTGATGTAACTATGCGCTGAGGATGGGCAATTAACTTGTTTTGACTGTCATAACCATAGTGGGTGCTTCTTGCTCTCCGCTATCGTCGAGGGGGCCAATGTTATAAAAACGCATTTAAGGAGAAAACAGAGCTGGACTTTTTCTTGAGTACAAAATGGAGAGGTAGTCCAAAGTTTCGATAAGAGTTTGTTTGTCCAAAGCCCATGACAGCGGTACAGCATAAGAGAGGCCCGTATTCTCTTCAGATTGATTTTCGAGTATTATTCAACAGTCAAAAAGAAGAATCCGTTAGCTAGCTGATGACTCTTTCTTTCAATGACCTTAAATTCAAACTAAACTGAGCCAATTATAGGGCGTCGTAGTGATAAAAAGCGATCAAGAATTCTGATTTCGACGAGCAGCAGGAAACGATACTGTATGTGATCCATTAATCAAGTAAAGCTATCAAAAATACCGCGAAATGATGACACTAGATTTGACAACGACATACTCATAATTTTTCAGTTTCCAATGATAAAAAAAATCAAGCACTCCCTGTTATATAGCAAATTAGTGAAGAAAACCAGAGGAGCACTCATTCACCTGTGGTTTTGGCCCATGAAATCGCAATCGCAGATGAGGATTTTCATAAGCATACTATGAAATCGTGGCCGCCAGTGTGTGGTGGGATTTTGGTGGATCCTGAGGGATGATGATTATGAAGTGGTGGTTAGGTGTTAATGGCCTAGAGAGGCAGCAGGGGTGGGAAGAATAGGTGTGAAAGCCGTGGGCGCGCGCACGCTCGCTCTCGCGTGAGGCCACACCGAGTATGCGGCACACGGATCGATGCACCAGAGACGCGGAGCTGGTAAAGCGGGGGGTGAGACGGGGGTCGGGGCGAGACGCACGCACCGAGAGAGCGAGGGGCGAGGAGGCCGCAGCGGGTAGGCCGTGAAGCCGCAGCAGAAGAGCCGGCGACGGCGGCGGTTGCGAGGGGCAAAATCACTCGCCGAACCTCCGCCCCTGCCGCGCGCGCGTTCGCTGCCGGACAGTAGACGACGTCGTTACCGTCGCTGCTCACGATCGATTCACTGAGCCCTCGGGTACGTGTCGATGTCGTGCCGGTGCAGGACCGAACGCCTGCAAGAGGAAAAATGGCGCCTGCAAATAATACTCGCCAAGTGCACAGGTTTTTCTCCATCAAGTTTACATCTGCAAGGCACTGCAAGTCGTAGCAAAAAATTCGGTGTAGATTTACGCCGATGCCATAGCTCCTTTCAAGAAGAGATGGTCAGTCAAAGTGGCCTCTGAGGATCAGGGCTCAGCACAGATGGCTTACAAGCAAGCTGGATATCATTTTGGGACAAAAAAGCAAAGGACATCGTTTTTATGGCCAAAAACACAACTTAGGACGTTTTTTAGTCGACGTTTGGTCTGAGAGTTTTGTACGTTTACGGTTCAGGGTCAAAGGGGACTTCGTAAAATTTTGCGAAATCCAAGAGATACTTTGTTTCATGCATTTTCGGAAAGCCAGCTCGTGCCGAGCTTTGCTAAGGATTTGTTAATCTCTTGGAGAGCATGAGACACTGATTCAAAATACGCCTTTCTTATCTGTGAAATATTTCTAGACAAGGAGCTATAAGCGATTTTTGAAGCAAAAAAATTGAATGCGCGACTATGACATAAATGGTTCTCATATTTTTCTCAGCGCAGTGATAATTGTCAAAGCACTCTATTTAGTAGATATTCTTGATCCGAATATACACTAACCGATTCTTATATAAGCTAGGAGAAGCTCAAAATTTTTGTCTTACTTGTGCAATCAGATTTTTGCTTCATTATATCATATCCTCTTGTTTGATATAGCTTCACAGATAGGAAAGCCAGATTCGGAACCGCATTCTATTATTTATTTGTTATTTATTTATTTATTTATTTATTTGTACGCCCTCATGAAAAAGAAACAAGCAAACAACAACGAATAAAACAACAACTGAAACGAAAAAAGTATTAGTGTGTTTTCAGGTAGCCTCTCAAAACTTTTCTGAACTTATTACACACTGTGAGTTTAGCCACGAATATTCTTTTCCTGAAAAGTATTTCTACATCATGTGCCACTCGGCACGTGAATCTTCTAACGTTTCGCCAAGCCTTTGGTAACACAAGTTTTCTAAGTGCACCTCTAGCATTAGACGAAGATACTATATCGTCCCAAAGGGACTTACCTGACTCGTAACAGCGGATCTTTATGAAAAAAAAAGGTTGTAGGAAAGCCTGGTTTTAAGATGAACTTGAACATCGCTGGCTTTTGAAGGATTCGTAAGCTTAAATGAAGGTTCTTCCATTTGTTCGGATATTCACCTCCAAGGACCCACTTCGTCTTATCATAGGACTTTCCCACTCTCTTTCTTTCATAGTTTCAGTGCTTCATTCGTCTAGTCTACAAAGTGTTGCAGAAAGACTCCACGATCTTCAATCCTTCCTACAATATTAGAAAAACATGGAGCAATAATAAGGATTCCGATACAATGTACGAAATAAGGAGGGTTTTTGAGAAAAGCGTTGGAGAGAAGAAACTATAGTAACTCAAGTAGTGTAAACCTCTTTCATTGTCCGAGATCTGGCAACGTAGCAAGTAAAAGATAGCAATTTCCCCAAAGACTTACTTCCTGCGTATTCTAAATTTTCATCACTCGCCATCAAATTTCATCAACCCACATCAAAATTAATCGTCGCCATTCTTCTAGACAGAATGAACAAATGATAAGAGGAAGTTTTGGAGTACCTGCTATCTTTCTTCATTGTGACAATGTACATACGCCTAGAGAAAGAGATTTTCAAGCATGGCTTCTTGATAAAAAAGTATAATCAGTAAGCGGCGTGATTGGCCCAAATATTGTAAGAGTAATTATGAAGCGGAATTAGGGTTTGGCTTCGGCTAACGATAAGTCCAACAGTATGATACGTGGGCGAAGCGAACCTTCTTAGAGCTTTTGTTGAGAGCACTGTGTAAAACAATCAGAAGAAAAGAGGTGTTAGCACCAACTTCAATGCGATCCATAAAAGAACTAGCAGTTTAAAAGTAATGAGAGTGGATAAGGCTGTGGGAATTCCTGAATCATCTCGGGTGCGCCAAAAAAAATTGGCCCCAGTTTGAAGTAGTGCTACGCTAAAACCACTAATAAATTTGATCTCGACTTCATATCGATGATCATACTCCAAGAAGCAAACTCGAGCTTCCAAAATGTTCCTTTGGAAAGATGTAGGCATTGAGGAAATCGCTTCAGTGCTAAATTGACAAACATCGTGCTCTCCGATTTCAATCTATGTACTTGGCCTGGTGACTTCAAATCTGCCTAAAATCCTTATGTTGCGGACTGCACTTTGTAGTAGGCAAAGTTATGCATGGCAAAAGAAGCTATATTTGTGGAAATTTTTTGCGGGCCGTAAGTGCATACCGCTTGTCACCAGAATCAATTTTGACATCTTATTGTTAGAGGTGCAAAGTCAGGTGCAATTCCAGGTAAAAATGCCGCTCATAATTCGTAAAAAAATCGCCGGAGTGCGATGCAGTGCGCCGGAGTGCAGCAGAGTGCCCCGCACTCCACTAGGCGTCTGTCGGATTTCGCGTCTGTCGGAATTCGCGTCGCATCGCCATACATCTTGCTTATCGTATCTTGCTTCAGAATGGTCGAATTCTGAATTCGAGGACACCGTTCGTTTCAGCTCGGCGAGACGTAATCATCTAGTGTATATTAGGTTGTTACGAGCTCTGCATCTGACAAGGAGAGGATACTTAGTCGAAAGCACCAATCCAGATGAGACATATATCATCTTAAAGCGCTTGAAACGCTGGTTCCAAATCTGCAGTTTCTAGCTGCGGAGCGGTTTTGTAGAAGGATTTATGAAGGGTGTTCCCCTCTGGGTTTTAGGCGTCCTCCAGCGGTCTCCCCTTATCTGGAAGCACTGTAGAGGAGTATCAGCTGATGGCAACTGACCTAACGTAATAACCTGAATGAAGATTACAGTAAAGATTATAATACTCATATTACTTTGTTTTTTTAACACTTCTAACTTCGATAGTATCAATATCATCAGAAGTTTCATGCTTTGGGGCTCTAAAGTCATTTAGAAGTTCAATTTAGCAGGCGAAGGGGAATAAAACCTTGACACGGTACTAAGTTTTCGCTCAATTTCGCAGATTTTTGTTTGGTTGGATTGTTCAGTGTGCTGATAACAATATTGCCACTGATTTCTCGCTGATGACACATAGCAGATATACCGTAGGAGTATGGTAATGAGTCATTCTGATCGAATTTGTTCTAAAATCAGCTCTCAAGGTGCAATACCGCTCACAGAATATGCAAAATTTCCTTCAACCTCGCGGAATTCCGGGAACTCCGCGAAAGTCAGCGATTTTCCGGGGATTTCGCGACATTCAGGATCCGCGGAATCACGAAATCACGCAGAATACGCAGCGCCTTTCCTTCGTAATGAATACATTCTGAATCCGGAAGCAGCATTGTGTTCAACTCTTCAAGGCAAATCTTTCGATATACAGCATGTCCTCGATAGTTCCTGGAAATGGATGATCTTGGATTGTAAGGAAACTTAACTTATAGAGGTTTTCGGACACGCTGTTGACGAAAATCATGGTGTTTGAGAAATACAGGGTCTTTTTGCATAGATACGGTGAGGTAACCATAATTGTCACGAAAGTTCGTAACTTCGTCTTCACTTCTCGTGTATGTATCAGAAAACTTGCGTGCTTGCTTTTATAAATTTAAGCTATATGAACTGCCATCGATTGGTGTATGTCTTAGGCTCCAGTATATAGAAATGGCCGGGATATTACCCTACGAAAACACGTCTTCATGGATTTTGCCCAGAAGGTAAAGATCGCACGCTTCGTTGAAATCCCCCCGTGAGTGGTCTCTTTATAGAATGGAGCCTAAGACATGCACCAATCGATGGCATAGTTCATATAGCTTAAATTTATAAAAGCAAGCACGCAAGTTTTCTGATACATACACGAGAAGTGAAGACGAAGTTACAACTTTCGTGACAATTATAGTTACCTCACCGTATCTATGCAAAAAGACCCTGTATTCCTCAAACACCATGATTTTCGTAAAGAGCTGTCCGAAAACCTCCATAAGTTAAGTTTCCTTACAATCCAAGATCATCCATTTTGACCAAAATCCATGGGCGAGCTTAGAGGGTAGTAAGACAGAAAAAATGAAATAACCCGAACATCCCGGAAAACTCGCTCATAGAAGTTAACCTGCTGATTGCGAAAATCGCATCTGCTTAGCAAGATAGCTTCATATTTTGGGGTTATGGTGAGTAAAATTCGGAACGACTGATTTTTCCAAAACTCATTAGTCCTTGTATCTCCTTTCGAGAGACGCCTGTAACTACCATTTGGCGCTCCATAATCTACAGAGGAAGTACTATTAAAAGGTCTTTGCTGGAATCTACTAGAAGCAATGCGCGCTGCCTTACACCTTTGCGAAGAGATGTCCGCATAAAGACTCAAGAATGCTGAAAGGAACTATCGAGGACATGCTGTATATCGAAAGATTTGCCTTGAAGAGTTGAACACTATGCTGCTTCTGGATTCAGATTGTATTCATTACGAAGGAAATCGCTGCGTATTCTGCGTGATCCCGTGATTCCGCGGATCTTGGATTGTCGCGAAATACCTGGAATATCACGGACTTTTGCGGAGTTCCCGGAATTCCGCGAGGTTGAAGGAAATTTTGCATATGCTGTGAGCGGTATTGTACCTTGGGAGTTGATTTTAGAACAAAGTCAATCAGAGTGACTCATTACGATACTCCTACGTGGCGGACAGAGGGAGAGAGGGCGGGGGGGGGGGGGGCGCTGAGAATGGGTCGCGAAATTTTTGAAATTTGTTCACGTGGGTTATAAAAATTTGCAAGTGATTCGTTTATTTTTGTAAACAATCAAAATAATTTTCAACATTTTTTTAAAATTCAGATTAGCTTTATAAGAAACTAGCTGGCTTACCCGGCTCCGCCCGGCCTTATCAAAACATTGTGATAAAGCTCCCAACCCTATCCCTGTACAACCTTTTCCTGTGCCGACTTCTACATGAAATTCCCTATTCCCGCTGTTTTAGTAATCAGCACGCTCGATTACCCCCTGTGCCAAATCCTAGCCCCGTAGGTGAACTCTGCAAAAAAAATCGATAAAAATCGATGAAATCGATATTGATCGATGGCGAAAAGTGGCCTATGACACCCGCCCGGCCCCGACGTGTATGTGTGCAAAGTTTGGTCCAGATCGGTTCAGGAATGAAATTTTCTATTCGGAACTTACGTACACACAGACAGACAGACATACAAACAGACAAACAAACATTCAGCTTTATATATAAGAATTTTTGTCAGGGGCGTGACGTCAGCCACGCCCCCTTTTTCCAGATTTTAGGGTTGGGGACCCGTAAAAATATTGAGAGTCATCCCTAAAATTTTTTCTGCACTCCGGCGCAACGCAGCGCACTCCGACTTTTTTGACGAATCATGAGCGGTATTGTATAGTATTGTTTGAGATCAACCTAATCAGATTCCTAGATTATGTCGATGAATTGTCATAATATCCCTATCTGTTGAATCTTTATCACCGTTTCCTACTATCTATGATATTCAAAGCCGATAACCTTTCAAAGGAAAGTCCGATTAGTCGAAGCGGCCTTTTCAATAAAGTCTTATACCGCTTAAAAATATCCAACTGTGATTCCAAATCTGATTTCTTTATCTGCCGAGTTCCTCTGCACAACAAGTTATGAATATTTTCCTGATGCGAAATATGAATGCATAATCCAGGTAAAATCGAAATTTACGGCCTTTTTAGCGCTCAGTTAGAGCAGTAAGTATGAGCGTGTTGGACAGAAGGTATTGTTCAAATGGAGTGCTTTGGTAATCAACATTGGACCATTTGAGCAATTCTGACGGATTTTGTTTCAATTATGCATTCAGGTTATCAATTCAACAACGCTCATAACTCGACTTTCAGAGGTGCTCGGCAGATAACAAAACAGATTTGGAATCAGCGTTCGATGCTCTTTATAGTCGTGTCAATTTCTTATGAAAAGGCCACTTCTACCAAACGGACCTTCCTTGTTAGATAGTTGAATGGTCAGCCTTCAAGCGGCGTAGGAGCCCTCTCGCTTTAAACAAGCACGATCTTCCTGCTGTCGCCGGCACAAGAAGCGTATCCAGCTGATTTCTTGGTGTTTTCCCTCGAGGTTTTGCTTCGCGAAAGTCGATATGTTTTCCTTCCCATAATGTTACCGGCCCATGGATGTTTCGCTTTCACGACGTATTTCGCTTAATCACAAAGGGATGTGCTACTTGAACCGGTACTGCGAAGTACAGAATGTTGTTGTATCGAGTGCGTTCGCTGGTCCCTAGTGCTTTCGACGTGGCTGCAGTGTCAGCTCAAGTCTCACCTGCTTAACGGACCTTCATTAGAACGATCAATCCGTAGAAGTAAACTTGATTCGGGTCTTTCGGCTTGTCGGTGGCTTCCTTCGGAGGCCCAAAAGCGGCCCAGGCTGTCCATCGTCCTCTGTCAAGTTCTTCCCTTAAGTCGTTTTCCATGTTCATCATTCCCAAGGTAGACGTGAGAAGACGTCTTCAAGATGGGGTGCCTGCCAATCTCATTTTCACTTCTTCATAAACAGCGTCTTCTTCCGCCTTATTCGCAATCCGATGTTTTTCCCCCATCTCGTCTTCCTTCAGCATCGTCTCTGCATCAGTGATACTGCTCGAACTAAGAACGATGGAGGAAAACGCAAAACGGAGGGTCGGGTGAAATCTTCCTTGAACTCGTGCCTCCTCGTGTCAGTCCAATGACTTGTTACCCACTGCAGGCCGCTGTGAACAGCTTCAGTGATTTGAGTCGGTCGGACTCCCTACGCATAGAACTTGAGGCTGTCAATACCTCCGGCAGTCTTGTATGACCCTCGAAACCGTGTGGATGTTGCACATGCTGCTGAGTCCTTTGCTTGATCCAACTTTTTCTGAGGTTGGTTCATCCGATTTTCTAGCTCCGCGCGGAAGTTCAACGGAATAATGGTCTGGTCCTGGAACCGTGAACGTCCTAAAGGTCTGATCGCGGTGCGTCTTCAGTAGGTGAAATCCGCAGCGGTATCACTCCAGTGGAAACGATGGGCATCGGCACTGATTTTGGTGAGCGGATGAGATTTGTTGATTTCTTCGTTCAGAAGATTCTGTTTTATGCCGGGAAGAAGTTGAGGTCCCGTCTTGGTTCAACAGTCCCTTCAGCACTTCTTGAGACTTCGTCTTTCTTCAGCTGCGCCTGTAATTTCAATCCCCTGCTAGGCTGTTTTGCAACGGGCGTTGACCATCAGTTGCTCGACATCGTATGCCTCAAAGATCTTCTTCTTTTTGAGCAATTCCTTGGTGGCCTTCTAAATGCGCTGCAATTTTTCAGTCATTGGGCGGCACTTTCGCAAGCTAGCAGTCAAGTCATAAGTAGGTTGTAGTTGTACACTGGGTCCTTTTCGATAGGCTGATCACAACATATGAACACCTCCAGCCTGTGACCGTCATAAACGAACGATGTTCCTTCATGGAACACTGTGTCAGACATCTTTCCCAACTTTCCACTAAATCGTACATCGCTCGAAAGTGGCGTGATCGGAGCCGTTGCCGATCAAGGGAACTACCGAGACATCGAGCAATCCTTACCATTGGTTGGTGGTTGCTTCCACCTGATTCGTTCCGTTGGGTTCTTTGTTCTTTCTTCATGAAAATGGAATTTCCGTTGAAAAGTTGTGAGGCGTAGAAAAGCCCAACGAGGCGGTTGCCGTTCTCGTCACGGAGCCCATAAGAACTTCCCAATCCTGTATTCCTCTTCTGGTGGCAGATTTTTGCGTTGAAGTCGGTCATAACAAGCGGACTCTTCTTCACGGACGATCTTCTCCACGTCTTCATAGAAAGCATCTAGTTCCGTTTTATCAGCGGTTGATGTTGAGGTGTAGCAGTTGATATTACTGATGGTCTTCTGAAGTTGAAGAGGGAGAATTAGGGTAGGCAATTAAGGTGACGGCATCTCATGCGAATCGAAAATGGACGATAGATGGTGGACGACAAAGCCGACGCTCCAACGTTTCGCGATGGAACCTTCTTACCACGAATGATAAGGTCTCATCACTCAAATGTCGCACGTCCCTCTTCCCAGTCTTCAATTCCTGCAGCATGACGTGATAACTTAAGTGTTCTGCTTGTCCACGAGAGCGTTAAGGTCGGTGTTTATGGGGTTCAGGCGTTGTAGGTGAAGAGCGTGAGGCACTCTGGAAGGTTCCTTGGGTAACCTGGCATAAGGTCTTATCCATCAGAATATGTTTACCTCAATATCCAATTTTTGGCACGGTATTGTCACCTACGCTGGAAAGAGTACGAACGATTTGTCCAACATTTCCTCGAATGCGTTGCGAAAGTGAATGTCCAAGAAGTACGAAGAGATGGCATCAAAAACTTCACAGCTAATGCGCTACCTGGCCCTGATTGCAGCTGTCAGAAAGTCCTAGCAACATTTTGATAATTCTTCTATTGTTTTGATGTCATTTTAAATCTGATGTAGAATTCTGATGTGTCAAAGGCATTCATTTTGCGAAGGCCTGACTGGCATCCTCGTGCCGGTACCCGATGTGCAACCGGCGAAGCCGATAGATAACCGGTAAAGCTTCTGCAAAGATAACCGGCAAAGTTTTGGAAAAATTGCTCTCGTCTAACATTGTCTGCTTTTTCTTCTGTCCACTTGGGCACGTAAACGATAATTTCAGCCATGAGCGTATCTTGAATTACTCACAGAGAGTAGTATTTTGCAGAGTCAGTAAGACAAACAATGAAAGAAGAGAATGCAAAATGACTAGCGATAGTTTTGAATATCGTCTTGTTCAAACTTGCTAGTGAAGTAACTTGATAGAGACTTTGATAGTGACAACGCATACATTTGGGTTACATTGTGAATGTAGCTTGATCCAAAATGATGATTCCAGCCGGTGTCGTCATCTGGCTGTACTATGTGCTTTACTACTTGGCCACAGATAAGAAAATAAGATTGCTAAAAGCTTCATTAAGGTATTCGATCTACGTGACCATTTCCTAAAATTCAGCAATCATTGCAATAAATCTGAGCAATGGCGTATAAAAAGTAATCTACACTAAATTGTTCTTGTCTGTTCTACTGCATCGCCTTCCTCTTCCTTTACGGTGATGATGTTTCTGCTGTAGTAACCGACATCAGTAAATGGAAGATGTTCATTGGTCAGCCATTCGTTATCCACGCAGAATTTGTATTCGTAATAACCTGGAATATTTGTTAGCAAACTTTGGGGAAAAATTATTTGCAAACTAAACCTGGAGAGAGATGGAGCACAGTGGAGAATATGTCGTCAGATTTGTGAAGTCGTAGACGACTATCCCAACCATCCCATGAGCCACAGACGTAGACGCGATGAGGCTCACTCAAAAACTGATAATAGAATTTTTCCAATCTCTTCAAAATTAAGTACTTCGTCTTAGAGTAGTGCCAGCAAATAACTACACGATGTTTCACGTCTTTTCCTTCTTTCGCGTCAAGGGTTTGTGTTGAATTGTCGGCTACCAAAGGCTTCTTCTCATCTGCGCCCCAATCCATGGTGACTGAAGCGACCAGTATAAGGGATAAACAAGCTCAAATATCATGAAAAAGTTATTATGAAAATCTCGAAAATTAAAGTTTGGAATTTCTAAATCACTTCCTTACTCAGAAATGATAAATCAGGTAGACATCAATATCTCTAAGATTTTGCTTACACTCTTCGTACAATTCCTAGGCATAAGACGCTTTTGATGCGCCATAAGTAGATAAGTAATCATAGAATTAGACAAACAGCGCAGAAATAAGCGTTTGGGCAGCATAGACTAAATTTTAAGTGATCGCTTTAAATATGGGAATATCTCAAAATTGCTGCATATCCACCTTACTCATCCATTTGACAAGGTACATAAGTAAAAATGAGTAAGAAGCGAACGGCATGGTACGCGATTGAAGTACAATTCTTCTAGTTCTTCTAAGACAAGACAAAAGACGATCGATCTGCTTTCAGAGGGCATTTCTGCGCACAGAAATGGTTTTTCCCTCGATTCCTCCAGCTGAATGGGTTAGATTATTTTTTTGCAGCTCTTTTACTTATTCTAAGTGAGAGAAGAGCCGACGGAAAGAAATAGTTATTCAAGTCGCCTGAGCTTTAGGAAGTAAAGACTATGATCGAACTATGGATAGTTCAAAAGAAGACAAGAAGAACTACCTTGTTACAAGTGTTCTTGGCAGAATGAGTCAAAATCCGTAAATGCGGATTTATACGTTCTACCCTAGACCGTCACGGGACGTTGACAGACCGTCACCTCCCACTGATAAAAGCCGCAGCCAATACAACGCAAATGTTACTGTTTGTGAACGAAACGCTAGAAAAACTCATGTATGCAGAATGAGACTATACACTACATACTTTGCATTTCATCCACTAGCAAAAGCTCAGGATCGAGTGTATTCACTTCCATGGCCGAGTAAGAACCAGTGTTTGGCTCAGGTGGCTTATAAGAAAGGTCGATATAGTTTTTGGGACAAAAAACAAACGTTATATCGTTTTTGTGGGCGTAAAAACTACATAGATAGACAGCTAAAAAATAAGAGTATCGGCAGTCGAGACTAAATTTTGACTAAATAGCTCAAAATATGGGAATATCTCAAAATTCTTTTATTTTTTTTTGTCGACGTTTCGTTTTTCGAGATTTTTCTGAGATATAAGGTCAAAGGGGACTTCGTAAAATTTTGCTGAAGTCAGGGGTGGAAAACCTCGAGCCGAACCTTGATAAGAAAATATTTTTCGAACTTTTGTTTTTGCACTAGATTTCTTGCCAAAACACGAGTTTTTTATGCTAGAAATTTCTCGCAAATGCTTCTACCGTTTGATGTCACTGAGCTTTCTTCCGATCCTGCAAGAGCTGACTAATCCAGACGATCATATACTTCTTTTCTACATTCTTCGCGTCTTTTACACTAAATAAAGGTCAGCTTTTGAAATCTGTCCTATCTGATCGAATGACGTTCCCTCAGAGTGCAATCCTTGCATGATTCTGCATTCTGTCGACCAAGAGATTACTGTGATTTGAGAACATTAAGGTCACTCAGCTATATGAAACAGTCACACTATACAGTAATCTTTGAATTGATAATGCCTTGAGATCCGTGACTATCGGTGAGCCGAACTAATATTTTTCAGAGACAGAAAATACCTAGTTTGAGTTTTCGCGCGCACAGCCTATAGAATTTTGTACAACATACATTCTTTTGAATTATAAGGGTTCGCTGACTCAAGACTCTTATCTTTATGCGCTAGAAGAAGCTACCTGAGTCGCTTGGGCAGCTCTATGTTACTAATTTCAATAGCCACGCCGCAGCTCGTATATAACTGCCTTAGTTCCTCATCCGTACTCAAAGGAGAAATCTAATTGTGTGAATGAAAACATTTGCCTTTAAGATAGATATTAAGAACATTATTCAGCCACTGTAACGATATGATAGCTGAGCCTAAAGCAGACTTCATTTCATTTCATTTCATTTATTCATAGGCATAACCCTATGTTTTAACAACACGAACTATAAAAAAATCAACCAAAAACCACAACAACAACACATAAATATCAAAGATCACCTGAACTCAATGGAAGATCAGAGTTAATGGCACAACAACTCGTAATTTGTAAGATCATGTGAAAGAACAAGCAGATCAGAATTAGCTATCACTGGACTGCAGATACTTCCTGAGAACAGCCTTAAACTGGGATAACTTTGCAGGGAACAAATGCCGTCTCAAAAGCCTATCAATGTCCTGAACGATACGGCACGCAAAGAATTTCTTGCGTAGCTTTAACCTGGCTCTAGGGATAATGAGCTTTCTACTACCTCCCCTTGTATTGGATGCTCTGGTTGGAAAGAACTTTTTGGATTCTAAGCCACATGTACCATATGCAATCTTATGATCCATCACAAGATCAAATTTGCGCCTTCTGTAGGCGAGTGAGGAGAGTCCCAAATTTGTATTCCGGATGTTACCGTTTGGAATGAGATCGTAGTGAAAACCTGTTTTGCGTATGAAAAGTTTACGAGTGAAATTGTTCTGAACTTTCTCGATATAGTTTATAGTTTTGCACAAATATGGATTGTAAATCACGGTACCATATTCCAACATGGGTCTTATGAACGACTTATACGCTTGCAGGAAGACAGCTGCATCTTTATTTTCAAAAGCTCTAAACAAATTGTAGACCGTTCTTGTGGCTTTGTCTGCTATCATTTTTTTTTCTTGTCTGCTATCAGACTTTTTAGTAAGGTTCGCATTTTAAACGATCGCCAATTTTCTAGCACAGCAAATCTCTAATTATCTGCTAATATTTGTACTGACTAATAACTCTTCACCTATCTCTCGTATTTCCAGTAGCTGCAGCTCACTTAAGAAAAATGCAGGCTCAAATGTAAATGCAGCCGAAATGTTTTCCTAGAAAACTTATAGAATTCTCTACCAAATCTCATTCTGTGAACATGAAGCAACTTTTTGCTGCAATCAAATTCTCCTAACTCCTTCGATCAAATCCACCTGATTTTACTAGCTTAATTTCTCGCAAAAATGTATTAATAGTTGCGACTAGGCATTCCACATGCTTCGAAGATTTTGGTTAAAATGAAATGAACATAAACTCCGAAAGAAAACAAAGCTCTTTGCTTACGCTGTTTACATTCAGCAGCAAAGAATTTCCGGAGAAAGTCTATATTCAAAAAAGGTGTGTAGGACGGTTTCTTTGTGTCAATATAGAAGCTTCGAACATGAGACGATTGGAAGGTTCCCTCGATATCAATCTCTGTCTATAGAATCTAGACTTCTGTTGAGCGGCTAGTAGCAGAATACAAGTAAATGCACTATGCAAAAAAAACAAAGCTGCCAATCGAGAACCTGCTGTAAAACGATGGAGTTCACCTTGAGATTACATATCTAGACACATCTCCATTTGGGCCTTTTTTTATTTTCATTTCTTTAAATTCTCTCAAGGTTCAATAAATGCCAAATCTGCAAGAATGGCAGTTATGAAGTTACCGAAAACATATGATGCACCTGCATCTTCTTCAAAAGCTAAGCTTAAGATCCGGGAATATTTATTGTCTGGATAATTGCAAAATTTGCAGTCGTGTGCCACTTCTATCTGAGATTTCCCTAATTTTTGCAATATTTGCGAAAAGGCAGTTATGTATCAGTTGGAGCAGAATTTAGGCTTCATGGGAGAACTTTTGTATATGTTTTCCTCAATAAACCTCTAATAAAACTTAAAAATCTCAATTTTTAGATTAGAAAAGATATGTACAAAACTGAAAATAAAACGAATTGGCATCTTTGCAGTTTATACTAAACTGCTTTGTATAGCAAATCACCCATGATTCTTAAGCTTAATCATTACCATCAAGTCCCAATGATACCCGAGTTCTTTTTACTAAAATGCCACTTGAGGCTTATCAACAGAAAGCCCATAGGCTTCTTCACAACTCAAACAGGTTACCCAAAATACCTATAAACGTTTGTAGCTAGTTACTCTCTTGCCGACATCATTTACCTCCAGACGTATTATAGGGCTGAACCTTAAAATTACTCTTTGATTCAACTGGCTTGGCGGCTGGAAGGCGGGGTTTCGTGACCTAATTGAGGCTAAGGTAATGAACAGAGAGCACGCGCGCGGGAGAGATGCACTGCGTCGCGAGCGCGAGCGGCCTCAGTTAAGCTACAAAGACCCGCCTTTCAGCCGCCAAGCCAGTTGAATCAAAGTTTACAAAAGTAGGTGGATCACCGATTCTTCTTCAACATTATACGACTACTGTAAGAAATTTTTATAGACTTTTTTTTGAATGAGGGCATGTACAGCTCCAAAAAATAGAACGGGAGCTAAAAATCTTTATCAGGATAATTAGCAATGCTAGTTCCATATATGACCTTCTATCTTCGCAGTATTCTCTCGTAAAAAAGTTGAGACAGGTATACCGTTACAGTTGTTCTCTCAACAATTATCAAAGATTTAATTATGCCCTAAACTGCTCTGCAAACGTGTAAAAAATTATTTAGTGGAGTCGACGTTTTGTAATTTTTTAAAATTTAATAGCTGATCTGGAATGACGACGTTGTGCAAAAAACTTCTCATCGTAATCCTACAGTAATATGAAGCGATGGGTACAGCGATGTTTTTTTTACTGAGAAGATAGTTATAGTGAAAGTTCGATATTTTGTACATTTTGTATGTCAAGCCTTGAAAATTCATTTATTCTGAGAGGTGTTGCAAATCGACAAAAACGAGTCCTTGTGATGAATCAATATGCATATGCAACACTTGTCAGTTCTATTTATAAAGCAAATCTATTTTTCTCTTGTTTCTAAATCCGGTTCGAACTATCGTGGTTGTACTTCAAAGCTTTAGTCATGTCTAGATTGAACTTCATGAAATTCAAAATGACGATAGTTGGTAATGTCTGAGCCAAAAAGTTCAATCCTCACTCAAATGGTACAGGTGTCCACCTACGTAAGTAGCTCTGATAACTCTTACTGTTCAAGGCATCTTCACGTTAAAATAGGAATATTCCTTGTTTCACAAAATATGCAGCATGTCGGATAAGTGGAAACTCCAAGGTTGCCCATGCATTTCTTTTTTTTTTGTTAAAGATGAAAGATGCACCTCAACATTAGTTCGGTTATTCAGCACGGTTTCCTGCCGAAAACGTTCGCTGACGTTTACTGAAATTATAAGCTTCGATGCCCATGGTAGAGCAAAGAGTAAGAGTTACTTCTTTGATTCACCTTTTTTATTGGTATGAAGTTTTTAGGTCAAAGCTGAGATATACAGCGACGCCATTTCTAGCTAGATTCGTTTTGTCAAATCCAAAAATTGCTCCAAGTGAATTAGTGTATATCCTGCTTTCTAGAAAAAATCTCAAAAAATGCGTTTCTTGTGGGTATTGTATTGACAAGAACTGGGGTTATTACAATTTTCAGAAGTAAAAATGCAGGGCGTCCTAAAAGTATGCAAACACTTTTTAATCGTTTATAGCTGTCTTCTCACAAAGCCTTTTGCTTAGCTAATACCATTAGCTAAGCAAGTACCATTAGGATTTAACTTTGATTTACATTACTGTAAGATTACAGTAGGATTTTGGATAAGATTTTGAGCCAACAGTAGATGTAATTTACCCCATAAAGAGTCGCTGACTGTGTGAAATTCACACTTTACCGTCGTTTTCTTTATGTTATGCCAGATAAACTGCAACAATTTTTATTCAGTGTTTCTTCAAAAATGTGATATTTGATCACTGAGAACACTTAAGAATTCGTAAAAAGTTGTCAAATGAAATCAGCATACCTCAATCACTGCTATACGACTTTTCAAATTTTTTGGAATTTTTTTTCAAGCGGCCAATTTCACTATGGCGCTTTATGTTGGAAGTGCCCACCGTAATTTTACTGTAATCTGATTAATCGGTGATTCACATTGTCCCATAAGTTTGAGTTAAAGCCACTACAGAAGGTACAAAACTAAGCAATTTTGAGACTATATGGGGAGAGAGGTATTTATCTTATTTCTTATTTTGCTATAACGCCCATTTACTTTTGAACGAATTCCAACGCTAGGTCCATGACTCTCCTTCTTTATGATATGAATTTACCTCAAAGATGATTTTAGTGTCCCGCACTATGACGACGAATAAAATGTGCACCAGAAAAATTAGCAGGATTTTTTCATTCTGTGCAATAAAGGGTATTTTTACATTTGAGGTCTCTTCTTGCTTTGCTATGACAAACTGACTGTCCAGGTTACGTCCAAAGGGTCCATCACACTATTTGTCAAACCTTTCCTATACAACCTTACTATGTAGTTTCCGCTTCAAACCAAGAAGTAAGAAAATTCGGTGCTCTTAGTTAGGTCACACTTCTAGACTTCCAAGTTAGCTTTGAAATCGAAGTTTTTTCTCTGTATATTTGCAGCATGCTGCTCATATTTGCATTCCCCGTTATGACGATCTACGACTTGCGGTATGACAGCGCGATTATTTCTTGATTTACAATGGCTTTAGTATATCAACCAAGGAGCCTATTACTAGCTTTATGGCAAAGAATCAAATAATGGATAGTCAAAATATTCATACAGTACCCCAGAAGGCAAAGCTTTGATATTGCATGAAGAAATCTCAAGGATTTTTAGCCCGTGTTGCTGAGCGAAACAACACGGCATGTGTGTCCTTGATTACAACAATGGTCAAATACGAGGTAAGCGATAGACAATGAACTGAAAAATTCATTGATAGAATGATAAAAACTGAGAGACGAGAGGCGACATTTTTGGAAGAATTTTCTTATGTGGTCCCCATTCTCGTACTCCGCTCATGGCACAGTTGTTTCAACCTTCTTTTCCGGCGTTCCTGAGGTCACTGGAGCACTGGGAGCTTCGGAAGCTTCAGTTGTTTCTGGTGCTGCCGTACTCTCTGAACCACTAGGGGCTTCGGTTTTTGGCTCAGGTGATGCCGGTGTTTCGGGTCCGCCCGTGACTTTCGGGGGGTTCCCATTCACGCCGAAAAAATCATCCTCAGCAGGAAGAGGTTTCCCCTTACCATCAGTCGCCGTCACTGTTCCATCAGCGGTTGTTTTGTAGACAGCAGTTCTGTTGTTAATGGTCAATTTGACGATCGAAACGGTTGTTCCATTAAACGTATTCTTTTCTGTGTGTAGCATGTATGAAGCTCCCTTTGGGACCGTTGCATTGTACTCCTTTCCTCCAATAATCTGTGTGATCGTCGTTGTACCGTTGACTACGGTGATGCCATTCCCCTGCGTAGCCTTCTCAAAAGCGGAGATGAATTTTCCCCAGTCAGGGAATTCCTGACACTTTATCGATGAAGTGAAAGTGATAACACATAAGTAACACATAATTTACTTACGAAATCTGGGAACCCTGGGAATCTCGGGAAGCTCGGGAAGCTTGGGAAGCTTGGGAAACTAGGGAAACTGAAACTAGGGAAACTTGGGAAGCCCCTATTGAAGATGTCGAATCCGCTCGAGAATGGAGATGAGAAGAATGGAGAATCGAGTCCAAACCGTGATAGGAACTGCAATACTTCATTATTGAGGCAATTCAATTTAGATGAGATCTTTGTAACATTTTGAGCAAGTATTAGGCTGGAAAAAAATAATGTCGTTTCTTTTATAGCAAAGCAATAAGACAGATTTAAAAACATGTGAGGGGGTAGCATTCGATAGATCAAAGAACGATCCTCTCACCTGCTCCTGCTTGTAAGGGATACATGTTATCCATCGGTACACTTGCTATAATTTTTTCATGCTTAGAAATCAAGAAAAAAATTGAAAAACGGAAAATGGCAAGCTCCCCCCCCCCCCCCCAGCGACCCTGAGCTCCTCCCGCATATGCCGTTGTATACTACAAACTCCAAATTTTGACCATGAAATCTTGGCCTTGGATAAGCTTTAAATTCCGAAAAATATCAAAGTTGAAAAAACCCGAAAAAAAGCGACATTCTTTTCTTTCCAACCAAATATCTGGGAAACATCACAAAAACTGCTATGTATGCAATCTTAACAGAAATTCCTGTGTTAGTCTTGCACCAGAGCTATAATCGTTACGGTCGCTCTTGCATAATTTGAACAAGACATCTTCTCCCAGAAGCGTTTGATTTCATTAGAATATTGAGCATAGTGAAAGTGAACGCTCTGCCGTTATGCAAATAATCGCCTATCATTATTCTATATCTTGTTGATGGCCACGTATGTCAGACCGAATGGAAATGAAGTAGAACTTGTGATTTTTGCATACAGATTTCAGAAATGTTAAACAGAAATCAATATTAATGTTCGTTGTTCGAGCACCAGCTAGAAGAAGGATTGATAGATTATCAGCTTATATGGAAAGCATCTCCAAACGATGTCCAGCATGATTTCACGGCATTAAAAATATGTATAAAATAAAACATGATGGTTTCAGAAACAGAACGCCTTGTGACCAGTGAACGCTGCGAATTATAATATACGAAACCATATCGATGATCATTCAAATTTAATAAGCTTTTCTTAGTTACATAGATTATCACACTGCCATATTTTCGTTCCACAAGTGTCCATGATTATACCAGAAGTTTTATCATCCTTGCATGGAAGTCAAAGAAGGATCCAGCGGACCGAGCGAACTCTCAGTTTCTGGAGGTTGCAGGCAAGAAATCATGGATCTCTGTCAGTGGAGCGATATCTCGTATGTCTATATCCACAACTGAGGAAGTCTTATCCGAAATCATCACGGTTTTTGCATTGTAGACCGTTGAGTATGAATAAATGAATAAAAATAGATTAAAGCTGTAATCGCTCATTCTAGTATAATTTGGTGTTCACTGACTATACAGAAACATTCAAATTCTGAAGATTTTCAGCTGTTTTCTAGGCTCATGACTGCAGAAAATCATTTCCGAACCTGCAGTTGGAGAGGTGCAAAAAAGGCCTGGTTCAAGAGCTCTGCTGTTTACCAAGTTTTGAATAAAATTTCGGAAACTTTTTGGATACACGGTAGAAATGATAGAATGGAATCCTCGGAGGCTATCTGAGCGGCTAGAAGAGTCAGTACTGGAACATAGCTACTGGAAAAACAAGGAAATCCTGTATCGATTACTTCCAAAAGTTGCATATCTCTATTCGTATAGATTTGCGATTTGCAGAAAGTACTTTTGCACCAACTTGATATATTCTGATCCCTCAACCCCTTCTTCCTAAGTCTTGAGTTTTGTGGAGATTTGGAACGTTTTTTCTAGAGAAAGTAAAACCTGTAAATATCGACCTATATCCAATCCTGTTTTCCTTGCAAAACAGTTTTGGTTTTTTTTCTTGAGGATGTATGGACTTCTACTCAAGTACTAGATAATAAAAAGTCTGCAATTGTGTCTGGTGCCGACAATGTTTGAGAAAAAAACCATCGCAACACTTCAAACGTCTCTTCGAAGATTAGGGTAACTACCAACAACGAATTTCAGGGAGTAGTTCCCTCTCATGAAGAAAAGTCCAAAGAAATAAGCTCGGGATCCCTATAGATATGGAAAGCATGACGAAACGGAAAATCAGAGATACTACGTTTTCTTCCTGAGAAGTGAGGAAAGGGTGTTTTTTGGTGATACTTGAATGCTTTCAGGGTGTTCACATTGCCAAAAGGGTATATAAACGAAGTTTTGCTTGAGTGAAATGTAAACTGTATTACAAGCGTCATTTAGGCCAAGGTAAACACTACCATGTCATTTATGTTTGTGCAGTTCCAGAAGTTTGCAAATAGCAGCTATTTTTTGCAACAATAACAGAATCGTAAACGAGAACAGAGGTGGCTTTCAGAATGGACAAAAACGAAGTCCGACTTAACTTTTGCAGATTTTTACGAAGTTCCCTTTAACCCTAAACGTAAAAAACCCTCAAAAAACGAAACGTCGACTAAAAAAACTTCACAATTTTTATGTCTTCCGCCTCAAAAACGATACCCCCTTTGCTTTTTGTCTCAAAAACAATATTCAGCTTGCTTAGAAGTCACCTGTGCCGAGACCTGCCTTCCCTTTTTCACTGTTCAGATTTTCTTGCATTTTGAAGCATTTTTCGCTTTGTTGTAATGAACAACACATATCCTTGATCAATCTTGAAACGTCTTTTTTGCACAATCATAAAGTTTAAAAAAGTTGTGTACAAAATTGTTGCAAGTCAATAATCGTTCACTGACCTGACTTTCTGCTGTTGTCACAAAAGACAACAGCCCAAGAACAGAAAGGATAATCATGGGTGGGTGCAATATTTTCGCAAACGTGTGCGTATTTATACAGTTGAAGAGGGAGGGGTTGGAAATAGAATCGATCACACAGTCAGAGGGTTAGAAAATATCACTAACGATGACTCATCTTAGAGTGCATGCACCGCCTTCCTACTTAGGCCAGAGCGTTCGGCATTTGCATGGATTTACAAGGATTTTCAAAGTTCTTCTCGGTTCGCTAGGAGGTCATGGACTTCGATTGTGAGAATGCGTGTTTTTATCTAAGCTCTGCGCTACCATCGAAAATCTGGAGTTATTAGTGGTAGTTCAAATGAAAGGGCAGTTCTAGTTTTTTCATCTGTAGCCAGCTTGAAACCGAGCTCTATAACAATTATGCGTTCTTCTCAAATATCTTCCATTAGCTGCGAGTCAGTAAAGGCCACGCCGACTTATTTATGAATCAGCGATACGTTTCACTTCCATAGTCTTTCCAGTTTTTACCTTTCAAAGTGCATCTGAACCTTGTTTGGCGGCACCTGACCATGCTCAGCTGACGTAATCCACAGAAACTTCTAGAATCAGCATCATTCGGCTAGCGAAACACCCCCATACGACACGTCGACTATGCAGTACTGATGAAATCGGACATCTGCCAACCTTTGGAAAAACACCTTGATGCCCTCGTAAACGTGAAATGAATTAGAAATGCTCTAACATGGTAACACGCTCGAATAACCAGTTTTACTATAGAGCCACGACACGGCAATGAAAAAAGTGCGAGTTGTAGACGGTCGAGTTGTACACATCGTCTAGTTTTGTACTTGTTAAGAAAGAGGTGCTAGGCGTAGTTTTTTCATGAACCAATGGATTTGCACATTATGCCTAAGTGGAAGGTTCAAAGTTATGGTAATTATGCTCAGGAGCAGCTTACATTTCAGCAGTCGCCTTGTGTAAATGCACTATTTCTTGAACTTACACTGAGAGTTGCAAAAAAAACGTGCGAGAGCTTTTTTCTAAATCGTGCAATCGTTTTCGAGTTACATTTCCATAGCTTTATAAGGTAATATTGAAGGCTTATCGTCTCCGCCTTCTTCATTACAAAAGTGGTACAAATATATAGGGCATTTGGAAAATCGTGACGATGGCGCAACCGCGCGCTACACACACGCTACTTCCGGAAACCGCATTTTCTTAGTTTTCATCTCTACTCGAGTGATTCTTCTGCTTACATATAATAGTTAGACACTGGAAGTGAGTGAACTGAGCTTTGAGGTGATGTCTTCTCATATGGGCTTTTTATGCTCCTGTGGGCGCAAAGTCCGTAATCAAGTCCGTCGTCACGACTTTATAAATGACCTATATGTACAAAGCGGCTATTAGCTGTTGGCTCGAGTACACTACAGATCTGTAAGGAAAGAAAGTTCTTATGCAGTGTATAACCAAAATCTAGTTTCTGTAACAAATTTAGTATTCTAAAAATCTTTCTTCTGTCATTTTACACTGCGGTCACAAGTTGCGAAGTCATAGAAACAATCCCAGTACTGAAAAATTACTGACGATATGTGGTATAACATAAGTTCTGCCTTGAAGAAAAAACTGTTGCACACTAAATTTATGTCAAAACCTTGAATTCTCTATACTAGTGATGGCGAGAAGTAGACATTGATTGTTTGAAATAACTGGAATGTGTGGAGGAAGGCGTATTTGAATCTTGCCTGTAGAAGAACCTGCTAGAGATGTAACAGGGTACAGAAAATGGCAACATGGAGTTTGGAAGATGGATGGATGGGGGGGGGGGGGGGAGCGGAAGGAGAGGGGAAGTGTGAAAGGAGGAGGGTTCCATTATTTTTTTATTTTTCATAGGTCCTCTTATCTTGAAACCTGGGCATTGCCTTAAATGGTAGATACAATGATTTTCTTATGCCGCACAGGTTTTTATATGACATCTTTTTATCTACATTTTTTATTATTTTTATTCAATACGCTCATAGGCGCGCCACTTTGTTAGTAAACACCAAAACAATAGTAGTATTGTCAAATTTTCCATTAGTATTGTAAAATCGTCCAGAAGAAGGTTCACTTACTTCTACAAAGTGATAGTTATATTTTGTTTATGTACAAAAACAAATATTCTGAAACAAACTCTTTGCATGTCATTCAGGAAGTATTTCATACAAATCAAACTCACATTATATAGGTTAGTCAGTCTTTTCCGGGTCTCAAATCCCTGTACTTTACTCTCTTTCTTTCAAACAGAAACATTACATGTTGAGCTCTAGGCAAATGGGAATAAATGGAAATTCTGCCTTTGATTGCAAACCAAATGCAGATCGCTCTCATCATGTGCTTTCAGTGTATGGATGTGAATGTATCTTTTTTCTTCACATATACCTCCATCAATATGAACATGCAATGAATGTTTCAACATTTATGGAAGGCGCTATTCAGTGAATGCAGTAAATATTTTATTAGAAGAAAATGATTTGCATGCATTTTTCTTGCAACAAATCATGTACATCGCTCATAGATCGAACAATTTTCGACTTGGGTAATTTTTATTCTTTTGGTGAAGGTTAAATATTACTAGCAAGAGAGTTCGTTCTTGTTAGAAAATGTTGGCAACGATAGCAACTTTTAAGGGGTCTATTTCCCAAAGAAATTCTAACCTTATACTTTAAGTGAAGAACACGCAATTCGAGTAAATGAGCAGCATAAAATACAATTAACAACAAGAAACTATAACAAAATGTTTTTTCTGCGTTATCTCTAAGATTTTGAGCTGTTGATTTAAGACAAAAGAAATACTTTGCATTCCGTTACTCTTGCGTGAAATAACTTTTTTATGTCCCTTACGTTTCAGCGCATAACCGAACGAAAGATTTGACAACTCAATATTTTTATCAGCTTTTGTCCCCTAGCAATTATTATTTCGGAAGTTATTATCATAGTTTTGGAAGAAAGCTCTGGATTACAATTTCTCCTGCTATTGAAACTGTTCAAACGCCTAACAATCTCTGCTGCAGCTTTGCAAAATTCTACTAAATGGAGCAGAATACATTTCTGCCAAATTAGTCACTCTTATTTCGTAATTCAAAGCGAATTTGATTTGCGAATAAGCGCATCAGTCTGTATCAACAGGAATCATGAGCACAATCGCTTTTATTTTAGTCCTGAAACGTTAATGGAACGGAATGCGTCACCATACGGCTGTGTATTGTGGCATACAAATTTTGTGCATTTTGATGAATCGAGGATGTGGCAGAAGTTAAATGGTGAAAGTATGCAAATTAGTTTCATATTCTAAAAAAGTATGGATAATTAATTAAGACGGGAAAAGTTGAACAAAAGGATATTTCCACTTTCCAAACAAGCGAATAAAGATTTATCCATAGACACGTTTGGATTAGGTGGAACAAGCACCCTTATCTGAATTTCCAAGTAAAAATAAACAATTCCACTTGATATACTCTTTAAAAAAAGAGTACACATTTTGATAACTTTGGCACGTTTCCTAAACACTGAGAAATTTTCGGTAGTAGTGTATCTTATGGGAAAATGCCTACGTTGACAGATAAGGACTAAGCAAATAACTCCACTGCTTGGAGTAAAGTTTTCTAAATGTGCACTATTGCTGCTCCAGAATTTCCGCCTTAGGTAATTTTCTCATGGAAAATATGTCAGGTATGTTTGATGTAAATATAGCGCAGATACGTACATAAAACCCAAGCCCAGAATTGCAGAATCTCTTTGCAGAAAGGAAATAAAGATATACCATATTGTTAATGTGTATGGCAAGACAGTTAAAGGTAGTGTGCAAATCTGGTTTGCTCAACAATGAAGAATAGTGCAGAAAAATATGAAAAGTGTCTAGTAGTTGTGCCTATTGACGACATGCATGTACTGGGCAAGACGAGTAATGTCTCTATAGTTTTGTGTACGTTGAACAACTAAGGGACAGAAAAATGCGCTCGGTCGTCCACTGCAGTTAGAAACAGTCGAATGGTTGGAAACGTTCATCAATCTTTCTTAGGATAAGATATTAGCCGAGGTGGTGCCATTGTGAAAAGAAAAGACATTAGCGGCAATGTTGGTCAGCTTCTCACTAGATTTTGGAGGTTACTTTTTACATAGCCAAGTATACAGCCACATTTTTCCGGGATTTTGCACAATTTTTCGCGAGCCTGGTTAACTGCATAGATGTTAAAAACAGCGTCCACCCAAAACTTGCCTTCCTGCTTTTGTCATTCTGGAGCCTTTACTTGGCCCTGATTACAATTACGAAGTGCAAAAAAGTGCACCCAAAAAAACCCTCTTTCTGGTAGCCCTATCCTGAAGAACCAGACGGTTTTCACTACCTGGGTGGGCGGAGCTTGATAGGTTTTGGGCGTGGCTTGATAGCACTTTCGTATTTTCAGGCCGATTATCTCCTTTCAGAAACAACACTGAAGGAGCGGACCAATGCAAAGGCCCCTCTCTGGGACCCACATTCAGAAAGATACTAGTAGGAGGAAGTTGGGTTTTGCCTGAAAACTGCCTTTAAGGACTTTAAGGATCTATGTTTGCGTGGATGTCAAAGCGCGTAGAATTGTAGAAAAACGAATGAATTGGTACAGAAAAAAAACAAAGTTAAGATGGAAATCTTTTCAGAAGAACGAAGGAACACTGGTGGCCCATGTTGTTGTTACATAGATCAAACACCTTCTTCATTATGGTACGGAGAACTATTCTTTCATAATTTTTATTTCGGAGGCTACGCTTTTGTTGATATCGTGACCGCAATCTTATAAGAAAAGTTCCATTATCATAAACATTATTTTCTTATTATTGAAAGTCAGTAAGAACGAAAGCTTCTGAAAGCAGAATTTATTGGATTAACGGTGCCTCAGTCCTCTTTAATAATTAACTGAGAGCAGAATACACGAAGCGTTGAAACTATGTATAAGTAGTGATCTGACTGCTAATTCTGATGTCAACTACCAAATTATTTAGACTACTTGTCACAAAAAGATAAGACTAATGCTTACTAAATTCTTACTATCGTGCCGCGGTGGCAAATAATCTTCTATTATCTTATTTATTTTATATTAAACACTCGGGGTTCGATTCATCTCGAATATCGCACATTATAC